CGCACACACACACACACACACGTACAAAAAGACGTAAACAACCCTTAGCCCGTTATTATAAGTCATGATATTTTCTACAGAAGACGCAAATTGTCATCTCTGCCTTATCGATGTGCAAAAATCAAAAATTTCCTGTTTCAACATGTTCGCCGGTTAAAGGCACCGTCCACTCAAGTTCTCGACTTTCATGTTTTTATCGCTTCCAGGCCTTCTGAGGTCCTGTTTCCGAATATGTAGTCGAGAATCCCCGAGATAACCAAAAAACCCCGTTTTGGAGAACGGCGCAATGCAAGTCGCAAAGCTGCGGCGCGTTATGCGCCGGCGTATATCAGCGCCGCAGCCCGCCAAACCTGCAAAATGGGCGGAGTGACCAGCTCCGGATTACGTTCCTTCCGGAGCGGATTTCTCGCTTTGGAAGGAATCTTTTGCGGCGCTACTTGGAGGTTGGTCTAGTGTGGGGCCCACATTAAAATGCCATCGAATCTCGTGAACCCCACTTTGAGTGGACGGTGCCCTCGAGCGCGCGATTTCAAACCTATCCCGAAATTATCAAAAGACTTGTTTACAGCGAAGAAAAAATGAAATAATATCAAAATTGGTGTGTAGATGGGCAATGGGGAGTTAGGACTATGCGCGAAAAATTATGAGAAAGTTAAGTGAACTGAAAGCGTGGCAAACTTTTTTCGGAGTTAGGTGGCTTTCCAGCCACCTGGACAGCCACCTGAGGTTGTGAAAAGAAAAAGTTATATATTTTCCTTCCTTCACATAATTTTCTCACATGTTTAACATAACCTTGTTCTGCATCAAAAACCCTACAACTGAGTTTTTGAATCTCTCTAATCTCCCTCTTCCTCGCCTAGTTACAGCCCTCCAAATATTTTGTACGGCGGGGGCAAGCCTGCTCCAAGCGCGCGGGGTGCGCGCCGGACACAGCATGCCGCCAATTCGACGATTACGGACATCTTCAATTTTTTTCGTTTCTTCGATGTTGGTTTTATGTTTTGTTCCATTATTTTTTCGTTATTCGTTTTGATCCGTTCATGATCGCGTCATAGGTGATGTCGCATTTTTGTGCTGAAGGTCTACAGGGACTTCGTTTTTGAAAAATTGAAAAAAGCAAAAACGAGCCCCTTGAGCAGGTTTGGTCGAACGGCTAAGTGAATTGAATTCGAGGCAAAAGAACTTGGTTCGAGGCAGGCTAGTGGAATATTTTTGCGTCAAGGGCAATTTTTGATAGTGGCCACTATCACATAAAAATCGATGGTGGTGACCGTTATCAAAGATATCGCCTGGCAAATAAAAGGATAAAATAAGGATAATCTACGACATTACGAACACATCATAAAGAACTGAGAAACTTGAAACATCAACGGATTAAACAACAAACAAATTCTGGTTTTATGCACCATTCTGAAAAAAAAACTGCAAAAAAACCTTTTTTCCTATTTCTTCTGCAATCGTGTGTATGTCGATTCTCACTTCCTTAGGCCCCGAATTTTCGTAGATTTATAAGCTTTGCACCGCAATGAGTTGTCCCGCAAGTTACTTACGAGCATACAAAAAATTTGTCTGACTTTCCTCTCCTGCATACTATCTTTCTCGGTTTTCACCCTAAAACCTGCCCTTGGCTAAATGACATTCTGTTGAACTGACCGTGGCACTTGCCGGGCCTTCTTGACTGTTCAACTGAATATCCCATAGCAGACAAGGTGGACGGTCTTAGGGCCCATGCATTTATCCTTGCGGGAAGAGGGAATCGTAGCTATAAAGACAGCTTCATATTGTAAAGATCCAGAATACATTTCACGCTGTCTACCTGTCCGCAAGTATTTATGTTATAATTTTGTCCAGCACTGTACAAAAAGCGAATTCCTTCACAATAAACAATCGCACAGGAGCGAGAAGCTGTACAAGTAGCATCTTTCAGGTTTTTGCACAGTGCTGGACAAAATTATAGGCCCATCTTAAAAAATACCATGACTTACGTTGTCAACAAAATGTTCCAAAATTTGGTAAAACCATGAAGAATCTGAATTTTTGCTGTCGAAGCAAATCTGACGTCGGCAATACTGCAATCCTGAGTTCAAATCTCTGCCTTCAAACTCCTTCTACAATGTCCTCAGAAAAAGTAAAGGCATTGTCTCTAAGGGAAATGTTGCTGATTCTAAATATGCTATTTCTAGCTGCCACCCATCATCCCTAAGCAAGTTATGGGCTTTTTCCTGCGCAAAATTGGCGTGCTCATTGATTCACGGGCATCACGTCATCATCATTTGAGTGCTGATACACCTACGTCAAGCTTTTCGTCATCATCATTTGAGTGCTGATACACCTACGTCAAACTTTTCGTCATCATCATTTGAGTGCTGATACACCTACGTCAAGCTTTTTATGTTAGAAAAGATGGGATTTGTACTATTTCAATACCTCAGCATCTTTTTCTTGCAGATTTTTATCTACAGACAGCTCATATTATGCCAATTTTGCGCAAAAAATAGCCTATAAATCGTTTCGGAATGGTGCGTGGCAGCTAGAAATAGCATATTTGGAATTAGCGTTCAAAGCTGATTCAGAATATGTGCCTTTTACAAAAGGACGAGCTAAGTTAGATAGCTTTCCTTATAAGTAGTATAATACGAAAGTCGCCATGCAGAAACTGATTGCGACAAGCGCCAATGCTAATTGTGGCTCTGACCAAATTTTCAGGAGAGTCATGTGCAGACATACATTATAAACTGTATCCACCATCAGGTATATAATTACAGTCAAAAACCTAAGTGAGGTAGCAATTGGCAAGCTATTTTGGAAGTGAGTAACACCATTATTACTCTGCACAACTCCTGTTTCGAAAATGAAGCAAAGGGCAGCTTTGTGAACACTTGTGAGTATGGCGTACAGACTTATTTTTTGTGTAAAGATTGCTTTTACTATATCTTAAAATTATAAGATAACGGATAAAGGTTTTAAGGCAGAAACTAAGACTTAGGCTCCATTAAGTCGATGTCGGTTGATTCAGCAGCAAAAGTCAGATTTTTTCCTAAAGTCAAATCAGAAGTTAGTAAAAACTCTATCGCCTCCATTTTAGCTGAGAACAGGTTTCTGGAGCGAAAATTTGTGGAAGCATTTTCAAGGCAAAGCAAATAATCGGCTTTTTTGGAGGTACGACACAGCTTGACTAAAGCAACTGTGCAACATTTTTGAAATGTGTACTAACCCAAAAAATTCGGAAGCAAGGAAGTGCTTTATAAAATCAAGGTAGACCTATAATTTTGACCAGCTTTCAAGCCTGCTTTTTTTCAAAATTTTCAATTTTTTCTCAAATAACCAAACTAGAACGAGACCCGTTCTGATGACTGATAGTAGGCTGGTAAGCACACGCCTGTACAAAATTTCGGAACATTTTATTGACCACCGAGTGAGCTACTGCACTTTTTAGAGTAAAATGATAATTTTGTCCAGCACCTGCCCCTGATGATCCTCGGCAAAAAACCTTCCTTTTTCAAAGTCATTTTTCTTTCCTTAAAGTCAATGAAACGTGCCAAAATTGTACTGATCGTCTAACTGAACAATGCTAAGTATGTCTGTGATAAGAACATTGTTGAAATCATGAAATTTACGATGAACCACAAGTCGAAATTTAGGCTTTACCGAATAGTTCAATATTTCAAAAACTCGTCTTTCATCAGGAACATGCTTAGCAGTGTCGGGCTAGATAATCAGTACAACTTTAAAATGTTTTCGTCAACTTCGAAGAAAAGACGGTAGAGCGGCGGGGATCACAAGGAGTCATACAAAAAGCTGGAAAATGCGACTTGTAAAATTTCTTACTCCAATTCGATATGTTTATAGTAAAAGTTCTCAGGAACACTTACGGATAGACAGACGACGTGAAATCCAAACATCTGGAGCTTTTGGATTTGAAGCTTTCTTTTAAACTGCAATCCCCTTCTCGGAGGGGATATTAATACATGCGTCTTGTCGTCGTCTTAGTCTTCTTTCTTCCACTTCGGACCCTTCGTTGTCTTCGTCTGTTGGACGGTACAGGATCAAAAAGGAATATTTATCAGAGAACGATAGAACAGTAGGAATGTGAGAGGCGAATGAGTGAACACTGGACTAAGGCTATGAGTGAGCGCCTTTTATAGCGCTCATTTCCCGCGCACTCTGAGGTTGCGGTCGACTACGCCAGGCAGATCACTATGAGGAACAACTGATCATCTACAATCACAACAAATTTCATCCTAGGAAGTCCCTTTAAATGATAATCTCAGGTCAATTAAGATGAATGAGGGTTTACTACGGGCCATACTTTCCTAAAACTGCAGCCAATCCCGTACCCAAAGTAGAGGTTTTCAACCAACAAATTTTACTGCACTCCAACACTAATAACACACCTTTATTGATGCTTACGTGTCGGCACTTCTACCACTCCTCATGTTTAGCCGTCAGGAACACTGGCATGCTTTGAAATTGTCGCCTCCTAAGTCTTTTGAAACTTTCCCACTCAAAATCCTTTTCTGTACATCAAAATAGCGCATTTGACTTTGGAACTATTTCTTCAATACATGTTTATGCTCTATGATTTTGTGTTAAAGTGATAAAGGCTAGAATCTCAGGCCTTTCCTCAGCTAAATTATTCAGAATTTTTTTTGTTTTAAACAAGCCTTTTGTTCAGAATGTTGCCTAGGAGATGGTCGCTAGCATTACTATGTATGCAGCTATGCAAAAATCATAAATTTTTGATCGGTCTCCGCTGTTGTTAGGGCGATATTGAGCAAAGCAGAAGTCCGGACCATCTGAAAGTTTTTGCCATTGAGAAAAGTATATATTCGACAACTGTCGACATAGTTAAACAATATTCTGTAAAGCTTTTTTAAGAGTTTCCATAGAATAAAGTGAGGATACGCTTTGTAATTGTTTGGTTGTCAAGTAGTATTACAAATGCAAAATACTGAAATGACCAATACGCATTCCTTACATAAATTCGCCTTTTGTCTTACCTGCAATCCATTGAAATTCTTCTCTGCTTTCAAGAACATGTAAAGTGTATTCTGGAGGGCATGCATCGCGAGAAAACGGTTTTCCTTTGCTCTCCGCCAGTGCGAAACATTTCCCCATAACTTCTTCCTCGTTTTCCTCACAGCTGTACTCTTTTACTGCAACGAACCCATTAGCAATGCAAGCACTTGCACAACTGATTAAATAGCACCCAGGCAAAAATAACCTCTGACTAATATGTGAATATTAAAAATAGTTAGATGAAAACTATAACAAAATGTGAAGCACTTTGATAGCGGTTGATAAGTGTTTATTTTTATTGCAAAGTGCTCAAGTGAATAAAGATGGCTGGATGGATGAGATAATATTAGAATGACTGAGCGAATCGCCGCTCTGAAAATTAGCGAAAGGTAGACATGGTAAAAATGAAGGGTCACAAGCTTGAAAACTACTCAGCGCTCATCAAAAGTGTTGCATCGCGTACATAATAGATGGATAGAGGAAACAAGTCTGCAGCGGACAGTGCTTTAGCTATTTGTTCACCTTTACTCTGTGGCATTTCAGGGTAGGTCCAAAAAAAGAAAAGAATTTTTGCACCGAGCTGAAACTTATCACTACCTGGTCAACACTAGCGGGTGGGTCCAGAAGTTCATCCCTAAGTATTTCAAAAAGTTGTAGCTTTTTTTTCCTTTGAATCTTCTCATTATTACTTGAAAAAGAAAACCATGCTCTTTGCAAGCCTTGTGCCATAAATTAGTATGATTCATGGCAAGAGTTATAAGCAAAGGAATTCGCTCAAAATTAGCATTTTCCAAACAGCGTCACGAATTTAAGAATGTTTTTCTTTTACAAAGAAAATTATAGCATTACTATAGTGCCTTTACCATGAAATAAAACGAGAGAGTAGATATTTAGAAGCAAATGAAAGTTACTTTGATTTGCAATTTTTGAGCATTTTCGAAGAAATCTAGAGTGCAAAAGCGAAATAGTCATGGACAATTGTATTGGACTCTATCCGGCAAGAAAATAGTAAAAAGTCGAATTGGCCAATCCATGCAAGCCTACCTTTCGATGCAGCATTCAACGCTGATTTCGAATCTGTACTTCATATTTGCTTAGCGCTCTTGTGAACAAAGTTATGAGCAGACCGCAAAAAAATCGTACATAAAAATTCCGAAATTGAGCACATTGTTGCACTTTCCGCTCATTATTAGGTTCTTATGATATATCTGAAGATGACCCAGTTCAGGCAGTATCGACTTGGAATCCAGAGCGCCGACCTCAGATAACAATCGCGTCTAGAAGATCCAGCAAGGTACGTGTCGAAGAATAAGCACAAATGGGCCGGTCATATATTGAGAAGAGATGACGACAGATGGGCGAATGATAGAATGGATCCCAAGATCCTGAAACGTCCACGCGGAAGATCACCGAAGAGATGGTGTGACGAATTTGTCTGCACCAGCAGTTGGAGTTTAATTCAGGATCGTCCAGCAGCAATCGCAACCGCGTATCAAGACGATCATGGATGACGATTGGAAACCGCAACGAATGGTCAAAAGTTGAGGCCCGCACGGCGCGTGAGGACAGGCCATCTAAGTAATCTAAGTAAGTAAGAACAGCTAGTGCCAATTCTTCCAACGTTCAAAAGCAGCATACCAAAATTTTCTCAGATGGCAATTAAAGGAGGGGCTGAAATTTTGCATTTCTGCCCAGCTTCTTCTTTTGATCCCAAAATAGCAGTCTCCAAAAACGAAAAAGTTTTAATGTAGAGATATCAGTGAGCCACTCCGTTGAAGGTCGGGCATGCCAAAAGCGATAAAATCGTCGTGAATGCTAATCGTCGCGATCTGCTGAGAACAGCGATGAAAAGGCGCGACGGGATTGCTAATTTGTCAGACATGAGCATACCATTTCGTCGACCGATGCCGTCTCACAATTAAGCGCTCATTTTACGAACTATCAGTGGTCTCATTGGATGGTTCTCTTCGTTTTTGATTACAAGACACAGAGTAGTGAAGGCAAAACGTGGTTATCACCTTCATGCTCAATCTATTGACGTTCCACTTTATACGCGTTCTAACTAATGCCAGTGAAATTTTTTATCAGAAATTACCTTTTCTGTATGAATGAAGTTGTTACATGTTATCAACAATTTTGATGTGATCTAATAATCGAAACATTATATCAAATCAATCATTCAGTTGGGATAGCAGTCAAACAGCAAATCAATAAGTTGGACAAAGTTCGTATGATACAAAAGCATTTTACACAATACCAATGAAACCCGATAAAATTAAACTAATTTCCAATCCTCAGACATGAAACCATCTTCAGAAAGTGAAGAACAGTTCCGAAATGTTATTGTAAAAAAATCCCATTCCTAACGATGCCAAGGTGTCGAAATGAGCGATGCGAAAATCGCGACGATTTCGCCCAGATAGGTATGGCCTAGCAAGAAACGGTCAGCGATTCTTCGTCTCGGACGACTAGCACGCACCTCGTCAGTGCTAAGCGTGCATGCATTCGACAAGTGACTCTTGTGTTTTGATTAGTGATGCGATGGATTTCCTGCCCGATATACCCGGCCCCTTATAGTCGTCCTCACTGTTGGTCGCTCAGTGGAAAAATTGGAGTTTGAACTGAAGCACGCCGTTGCGGTAGAGCACGTCACCCCAGCTCTGAATTCAAACGCACGTTTTTTCTATTTTTCTTTTTGTTAGACGCTTTCGCCAAAACTCTTCCAAATATCTGCAAGCGGACCGCAAGAAATCAGCAAACTATTTTCCGGTGCCCGCCTGCCCGCGGCGATTATCTGAGCTCACGGAATGCCACTTCCTCGCAGGGCCAACCCCCTTAAAGGCAGCGTCCACCCAGAATTTAACCCCCCATATTTTCGTCATTCTGGGGCCTTTCCGTGGTCCTGATTACAGTTCCGAACTTCAAACTCGCTAAAATTCACAAAAAACCCGATTCTTGGGGAACCAGTCTTGACGGTGCGGACGAGTTTCGAATTGCTCGTCCCCGTCGGCAGGCCAGCGGGAAGGAGCTGCAACTGCATGGGTGCAGTTGCATTGCAGTGTGCAGTGTGCAGCTTCTGCTCACTACCTTGTCAATACGTGTCGGGAGGCACGTATTGACAAGGTAGTGAGCAGTCCCTGGTGGGCGGAGTCTGATATCAGACTCCGCCCATCCAGAAACTTTCAGGCCCCTTATCTCCATTCAGAGAGAACGTTAGAAGACCGGACCAACGCAGATGCCCCTTTTCTGGGGCCTACATTCAGGATCGACACTAATCGGAGGGGGTTATGTTTAGCCTGGACACTGCCTTTAAAGGAAATCTCCCCAGCCTGGACGTGTTTTCACATGGCAAACGGTTTCAACAGTCGAACACATAGCGTTTACCTGTTAATGCTTGCTTTCAACGAAGGCAGTATCAAAAGCACTCGCTTTTCCCAAATTACCCTCACATAGGTGATTTTTGAGGAATTCACGGTTTTGAGCGCCATATTTGAATTCGGCGCCATGAAAAGAACTGGATAACATAAAAATATGGAAGTCGAGAATCTGCTGGATGCTACTTATAAGAAATTTTGCCGAGAGATACTTTTGAGATTTTCTGTCTAAGAAGACCCTATTTGCTTCCAAAAAAAGGAAAGGGCGAAATTGGTCTTACTGGAAGCAAAGACCAGGGGGTTTCGCCACAGGAAAGGGCCTGAAACATCATGACAGAACACTTTTTAGACCTTACTCCTCAAGAGTTATCTATAGGCTGCTGCATGACGAAGGCGCAGTATCTTTGGACGCAAACGCGGCTCTATTAGCCGTAGAGCGCATGAGTCGAAGGGTTTACAACGGTGAAGATGCACGCGCGCCCGCCCGCTCAAATATTACTGCTTCTGCGCCTTCGCCATGCAGTAGCCTTTACCTTTGTCCTCAAAGGGAAAAGATCAGGGCGTACTTGGTTCCGCTAACGAAAAATATCAGGAATTTGAAGATAATTTCACGAAATCAGTGAAGGCCGCTTTCAGAGGAGCTATGTACTTGTAGTTTTGGTTTCCTTCGAAGAAGCTTAACGCTTTCCAAGGCATAGCAATGTTCCATAAGAAAAGTCTGAGATTTGATCTAAAACAGCTGCTCTTCATTAAAGATGATATCTTTGCTGATTTCCAGTAAAAAGATCTAGGCTGGGATTTTCAAAAGGGTTTTTGCAAAGACTATAGCAAAGTTGGATAACATGATTACACACTATTAATGTTCCTTCATTCACAACTAGTATCTATTTCTATTATTATCTACAACTCGCGAGTTGTTCAAAAAATAATTTAAGTTCTATTCTATTTACAGCGGCACCCAAACATGCCAAATGATTTTTCTGCTCCCAACCAACTAGCTAGCGACCCCTAGGACGCTAGTCTTATGTATTAGGTCGTTCCGAAAGTTTGTTTTTCCACCCTATCATGAAAACGCGTGAAGAAAAACAGGGAAAAGCTGCAAGCACTACCCGATGCAGCTTTCCTTCCTCTTTTAAATTGTCATATCCACATGCCGGTTACTCCCGTGGTCATTGAGATAATCGCCGAAATTCCGAAGCCACAGTTTTTACATGTCCAACTTTAGCAAATTTTCAGGATCTCTTTTTGAACTTTTGGAGAAGATTCGATAGCAGTTGAATAGCATAAACAGAGCGCAGTGCAATGCAGTTTTAAATTTGAAGCTTCTCACAAGGAGAGGATACTTAGTCGAAAGCACCAATCCAGATGAGACATATACCATCTTGAAGAGCTTGAAACGCTCATTCCAAATCTGTAGTTTCTAGCCGCGGAGAGTTTGTGCAGAAGTTGTGAGGGATGTTTTCCTCAGAGGTTGAGGTGCCCTACAGCAGGACTCCCCTTATCTATGAGCCCTGTAGATGAGTACCAACTGGTGGCAACTGCCCTAGTGTTAAGTAATTTGAATGAAGATTACAATAAGGATTATAATACTTATATTACTTCGGTTTTTTCAACACTTCTAACTTCGGTTAGCATCAATATCATCAAAAATTCAAGACTTTAGTTCTCCAAAGCCATTTAGAAGCTCAATTTTGCTAAAATTGCAATAAAGTTGCATGCGAAGAGAATCAAAGCATTGACATTATCCTTGTCGAGCAAGTCAT